AGAGATGAGCAAAAAAGTCTGTAAGCACTTCAGGAGAGTCATAAGCATACAGCTGACTTGCTGGGACTCCACAATAAACTATTAATCACTTATTAAGTATCCATTAATCACTAAGCCCTCATTAATTTTTATGAATGTACTCTTAGCAATATCTGCACCCAGGCCACGAGCCTGAAAATTTCATAATTATTTTGGAGAAGCTCTTGTGTAAGGCTGGGTGGCAGCTCTCATTGCTCCTTCACAGAAAGTCCACAAGGACCCAGAACACTGTGCTCAGCCTTCAGAAATCCAGTCTAGTGAGCTCAAAAACCCACTGGTGTGTGGCAGTGAAAAGGGTTTAGCAATTTTTAATGTGGGATTTAGCTGAGGTGAAACAAAAAAATCCAATTAGCATTTTTGCTCATGTGAGTCTGATTTTGCTGAATGCTGAAGGATCACTGGGATGGTGGTTAAAGTCCTTCTGACTAAATTACATTTTGTCTAAATACTGTGCTCCAGCAAAGCCAAAATATTTCTGAGATTTACCAGATTAAATGAGGCTGCACAGTGCTGTACTGCATTCCCTGAGTAATTCTGAGGGCTAGGACAGACACTTGTTTAGGTAACACCAGGGAGAGAGGACAGTAAAAAAGCCTCAAGCTATGGGGACTGGAAAGAAGGGACTTTTGTCTGGAAAAAAAGGTTCCATATTGGTTCCAATGTGGAATTAAAAATAAACATAAAACCCTCCAAATCCATTGCCTGATGGAGGTGTTATACTACAGGCAGCTGCCTGGGAAGTTGACATCAAGATTAGTTTTGGAGAGTATGAAGACACAGAAAAAATATACAGCTTATTCCTTTATCTAGGTAGTTGTTGCACATGCAGTGAGCACAAAGGGATCCGAGTTACCTGACAAGAATTAAACTGTCACACTACTGGGTCACTCACAGCAGGTATTGAAGCAGCTTCTCGAGTATCCTTTAATTCTGGAATCATAGAATTGTCAAGGTTGGAGGAAACCTCTGAGGTCATCGAGTCCAACCATTAACCTGTCACTGTTGGAACCCCTAAACTATATCCTCCACTGACAGATCCAGATGCCTCTTCAACACTTCCAGGGATGGTGACTCCACCACCTCCCTGGGCAATATCCCAGGGCCTCAACACCCTCACAGGGAAAACATTTCTCCTCACATCCAATCTGACTCTGCCCTGGCTCAGCTCAAGGCCATTCCCTCTATCCTCTCCCTGCAGCCCTGGCAGGACACACATCCCACACCTCTCTCCAGCCCTGTCAGGGAGTTGCAGAGAGCCAGGAGGTCACCCCTGAGCCTCTTCTCCAGGCGGACCAAGCCCAAGTCCCTCAGCCCTTGCCCATGTGCTCTAGCCCTTTGCTGCCCTCGTTGCCCTTGGCTGGACTCGCTCCAGTGCCTCAATGGCCTTTGGGCAGTGAGTGCCCAAAGCTGAGCACAGCACTGAGCTGGGACCTCCCCAGTGCCCAGTGCAGGGGGATGAGCACTGCCCTAGTGCTGCTGCCATACTCTGCTGGAGCCAGGACAAGATGCCCTTGGCCTTCTTGGCTGGAAGGTCAAGCTGTTAAAAGCTGTATCAGAGTGGGGAATCCCTCAGACCACAGACCAAAGCTTCCAAGAGATCTTAGCTCCAGCAACAGTGCTAACAGTTTTAAAATCTCAACATACCTTTATCAATTAGAAATGAGCAGAAGGCAGAAAAAGGATCATGTTCCTACACCTCCAGCACGAAACATCAGGCAGATGCTGAGTTCCCTTATAGCTCCTCAATGGAGTATGCCTGGATCCTGTTAATTATGCATGTGCTGCTGACAAGCTGCCTCTTCATGTGTTTATTAAAGATGATTAAAAATAGTAAAAACTGTATTCATATGTTTGTATCTTTTATGAAAAATCATGACTAATCAATTTAAACTGCATAATTCAAGTGATAGAAAATTAAGCCTTCTGGTTATTGGACTGAATTTTTATAATCACACACAAAAGATCATTCATAGTTGTATTCACAGCAGCACAACATGACACAGAGGGTATTTCATCTTGCTTTTTCCATCCTTTCTTCACACAGTTGTGGAGGCTAATCCACAATTCTGATTGCTTACACTGGGTAAATGCAGGGCACACTTCCATGGCCCAGTGAGGAAGACAAGAGGAAGAGAGGTTGGACTCTGTGCAGAGCCAGCTTTGCCAGTCCATACAGCAACTGTGTGTATCAGTTCTACTTCAGATAATAAACAAACAGATCTCCATGCTAATTAATGCTCAAAACACATCTAAAACCAGCACCAGCAGGAAGCAGACTCAAGTGTCATTGCTAGGCCAGATTTCCTCTCTTGTTACTACTCATCCCGTTGGGCTGGTTCTGCCTAGAATTAAGGGTTTTGGATCACAGAATCAGTTAGGTTGGAAGGGACCACAATGGGTCATCTGCTCTTACTTCCCTACTCAAGCAAGGCCATCCTGGAGCACATGGCTCATGGATCACCAAATACCAACTAATTTAGGGTGTCCCCAAAGTAGGTTACACCATCACCTGGAGGCTCCAGTTGTCAATGCCTGTAACATTTTTAATTCAAAGCAGATCTGCAGTTAAGATCCCTTGCTTCAAGGTTAACCAGACAAATTTGATGCAGTTCTCTCCTTCCTTTGTGAACAGTGAATCTTTCAAGAACTACAAGCACACTTACACCAGTACAACTATCACTTTCCTGGGCAGCTGAAGTTGCCATATACTGACAGCACAGGCAGTAAAACAAACCTGGGGATAGTTTCCCATGAGCAAAAAAGGAGTGTTTGTGGCTATGACTTCTGTCTCATAGCATTTTTGGGAACCATCAAGTGTTTCCATTTCTTAGCTGTTTAGATATATGAGTGTTTAAACATTTTCATCCTCTCCAGGCACATCACTGAAAACATTCTATGTGCAGCTCTGTACATCTGACTATTCCAAGTGAGGCAGGACATGGAGGAATTCAAATTTGTTGTGTTTATTTTTTCCATCCTGCCTAAACAGAGCAGGAAGGGGAAGAGGTGAAGCGCTGCCTGATGAACACAGCTACTTCCCATGACAAACCAAAAAGTGCCTGATGGAACTACAAATCAAGTTACAAACTCAAAGGACCTGACCATTTTCACAGTATCAGAGGCTTCTGCACATGGCTTTGTGCTTCAAGTGCTGCTGTACAGCATCCAGCTCAATGTGCTGCTGGGTTCTTAATGGGTACAACTGGATGCAGAGACAAGTAGCATTTCAGTGGTGTTGGAAAGTGGTCATTATGCCTGACAAGCTGCCCAAAATGATGCTTGAGTGGGAACAGGAAATGTTTAAATGCAAGGAAATACAGTGCATCACAATCCTGTCATGCTGAGCCTTTGCCATATCTGTGCTTGAGAGGGAAATGTATAAACTGCTTCATAAAGACACTCAAAGGAAAGAGCCAGAAAAAAACAAACTACCTCAGTTCATATTTTTCCAAACTACAGAATCATCCTATTTGGAAGGGACACACGAGGATCACTGAGTCCAACTCTTGGCCCTGCACAGGACATCCCCAAGAACCACACCACATCTTATCCAATTTCCCTGGTGCTCAAATGAGGTTGGACACCTTCCACCAGAGCTAATGATCTAAGGATCCTTTGCCCGCATAGTGCCTGACCTTCCCTCCCCAATCCTAAAGAGCCAATACAGCTTCCCTGTGACACACCCATCCCTGTAACACGGTGTATTTCAAAATCCTAGTGCTGACCTACGGGATGAGATGAAAACATGGGTTTGGGAACAAAACAGCAGCAAAACCACCCCATCCCTACACTGTTCCTGAGAGAACAAGGCTCTGGTTTTCGCTCCCTATGCCCAAGTAGCCAGTTCTCATCTACCCCAGATGCTGGGAAAGCCAGCTGTGTGGGAGCAACACCACACCACAGTCACTGGAGGACTGTAGGTAAGTCCCACTTCCCTGTAAAGCTGATTTAGTGCCTTCCAGGTTACCTGGATGTCCATGATAACTAGAAAGCATTGGAACATTATGGGACTTACTAGTGGTCGCCAAGGGAGTGGGTGCCCAAGGCAAACTGGGCAGGGAACCCCAGACAACTCACCATGGCCATGAACCTCATGGTCTATCAATGTGGCTGGTGGGAAGTATCTATGGGCAGATGAAGTCCACTGTCACCTACCAGGGGCCACATCTGGCAACATGGCGTCCAAATTCAGAGGAAAATGCCCAAAGAGCCCCCTAAGAGCCTGTGATCCTCCCTGTTATTGTCCACCACCAACACAGTTCTGAAGGCATTACTATCAACTCTGTAACCAGGAAAGCATCTGCTAATGTACAGTTTCACTCCTTGTTTCCAAGCCAAATCAGGAAAGCTGTAATAAATTAAACCAAGTTTTATAAATTAAACCAAGTTTAGAAACAAAACACAGCCCTGTGATGAACACATCACCCATTGTATTTTGTCAGGGATTTTGCACACAGTTGTGCTACAAGTGGGAAGAGAAAAACTCTATCTATGTACTTAAATGGTATCACATCACCAAAATACTGGTTTGTTTCCCTTGTTAATTCCACACCCTATCACCAGAGTCTCTTTCTCTGGGTTATCTCAACTGCCTTCACTTGAAACTGCAAATTCAAAGCCTGAATTTTGATTCAAAGCATGTACTGAAAAATATTTTAAGCACTGAACAGTTTTAGAAAAGGGAAATGTTTACATATTTGTGATAAGGAGATGAATGAATCAAACCCAAGCCCAGAGGTGTATTCATACACAAGACCAGCTTACTGGGGTGGCATCACCTGTTGAAGAAACAGCAACATGTGCACATGGAACAGAATTACCCAATGTGTAGACTAGGAAAATCCTATCAGAGTGGCAAAAAAAGGTACCAGTTTTTTCACCATAAAAAGAAAAGCCTGTTTTTTTTTCCCATGGGAGTGTTGGTATTAGTTTAGTAAGAGTTTAAACACAGCAATTATTACCTGATTCACACACTATTGAGCCTGGCTTCAGCTCCAGCATCATGGTGATTATGGAGATGTCAGTGGAATACAGGATCTGTGTCCTGTGTGGGAGATTCATGGTCCACAGCTCCGGGGTGGGATGAAGAATGAACACCCATCCCCCTTTACTGCAGGTCACTTTGGAGCCATACTTCTTGCCTATGAGGTCTGTGGAATGTCTGATGACCCCATACTTAGTTTGTGTGACAGTGCCATGCTGGACCTTCACAGGAAACATGGATTCGTGGCCCAGGAACACAATAGCTGTGTCACCATCCTTTATTGTATCTCCATACTCGATAAAACTCATGGTGGCAGTTCTGGAGTTGGCTGGTGGTTGTCACCTGGAAGAGAATAAATATGTCAGGAGGGTTAAACTACAGGCATAAATGCAAGTAATTTGGTAAATCACCAAGAAAATCACCAGAGAGGTGGTGGAGTCACCATCCCTGGAGGTGTCGAAGAGGCTTCTGGATCTGGTACTGGAGGATCTGGTTTAGGGTTTAGGGGTTCCAGCAGTGACAGGTTAATGGTTGGACTCCATGATCTTGGAGGTCTCCTCCAACCTTGATGATTCTGTGCTAATTTTATTTCTCCCAATACAGAACAAATTCTCACCGTGCAAATAAGATGTTAGCAAAAGAACTCCCTGAAGTTCAGGGACCTGCACCCTGCTGCACTCCAATCAAAACCAATGGGATGATCCCACAGATTTGAATCTAACCAGTATTTTCCCCTGGTTTATGGTACATTTTACAGGAAAAATCAGGAAATGCATTGTAATTTTCTCAGCCTGCTCCAAAATGCTACTATGGAACTTGCAGGTTGGCAGAAAATTCAGCACTCTGTTCAATTCTAGTTCACAAACAGAGCATGTGATTAAGCTGTAACTTCATTCCCATCTTCTGGCTTATTTCTTGATGATTTACCACCTAAAGACATACTTGCCTGGGCATCAACCACTAGTTATTAAGCCCACTAACAAAAGTTTCCTTGGAAGTTTTTCAAATGAAGGTTTAGACATGGGATAAAGGGAGTAGCTGCATTAACTTATGCATAAATATGAGTAACTATATGGAGAAAGAGACTATTGTGGCCTTGATTTTGCCATTGGGGTGCAAAGTAATTGTCTGGGAAGTGATTTGTGCTTGCAGGCAAACGTAAATAAGTTAATGCAAACAGTTCTGTCACTTCCACCCCATGGACTCAGAGCTACAGTTAGCTCTAACTTAGAGAATTACAAGTCAGTTTCCTTGGCTTTGACAAGACTCCCTAGAAATGAGAAGGCAACTTAAAAAGAAACAGGAAACTGTCAGATAAGGCAGCTAAATATCTGAGCTGCAGGTTGATCAGGGCATGGAATGAATTGCTTAATGAAGTCATCCCAAAGTCAGAAATTAAAGCCCATGACCTAAGGCCTCCAAAGTCAG